CCCCAAAACCCCAAAACCCCAAAACCCCAAAACCCCAACAGGAGTCTCACAAATTGAACTCTTAAATACAATCATCTAAGACCTTATTAATATTGTTCCTTGTAAAATAGTCAATTTGTTGCTTCTGGCCTTTTAGCCTAGACATCTTATGCATCATTTCAAGACTCCTTCTTTTAAAAATCTTCTCAAACATGTCCATTCGAGTTTTCTCCTTGAAATCTTTTGCTATAGCCTTTTCAGCATTTGGTTTATAAAAATTCTGCTCGCTAAAGAATCAGAGAAGACAAAATACCTCACAGCCATCCGGTCAGGCATCTCGAGAGGAGAAGATGGCAGTCTTGTATCACTAAAAGGGCTTGATCTTACAGAGTTCATTGGAGGAAGATCTATGTCATAAAGAATCACGGTTACTTTTCTTATCAGGAGAATATCCACTATACTTCTCTAGAATTTTTCCTAACATTGGAGCAGTGTAAGCCTGCTCTACAATATTATCACTATGAGCCATTATTTCATGCTGGGGTACATCCTGGTGTAAGATCCTCTGCCTGTTCAAGAACCCGAATGGATCTTTGGGCTTCTCATACTTCACAGGAGAGATGTACTCAAACTTGAACTCTTTAATCTTCTCCTCTAGTTTCTGATAAATCTCTGTAGGTTTCTTCTTCTTTGGTGGCTATGAGAAACTTTATTCATGAAAGAAGTAAAACCTTACTTTCCGATTGAAGTAATTTGTCTTCTCAACGAATACGGTCTGGGTCTTATTTTATAGATAGAGGGTCTAGTGGGCTCAATTGTTGAGCACTCACTCTTCCATTCACGATGTTTCGCATATCCGGAGATAATGTCTGTATCGACTTGAATTTCGAATCGCTTTTTGGCTGGAATTTAGAGTTTATTTTAGATACAGTTGGAGTAATTTCATCGAAGAAATGAGGATCTTCGCTGAAGGCTGGATGTTAGATTTATTAATTTACCTGAATTTAAGCATGATTCATTAGCAGATTCAGTAAGAACTGATTCAAGATCATTTGACATTTTGAACTGGACCTTCTTCATGGATTTTTCTGCAGCTGAAGGTTCAAGCTTATCCAGAAGTTTCTGAGTCGATTTTGAGACTTGCAAGGAGTCTGCATTACTCTCTGTAATTGTATTACTAGGAAGAACTAAATTAGATTTTATTTTTAGAGCACTGCTCTTCTGTAATTGAGTGATTAAAATGCTCTTTCTTCCTCGAGTCTTATCTTTTTTCTTATCTGTTTTCTTATCTTCAGATACTAAAATTTTAGGAACTAAAAATCCATGTCTTCTTGAATCATTAACATTTTGGCCATTCTGTTCACCAGCAGATAAAGGAGACTCAAATTTAAATGGGAAGGCAGGAGTACGCTTCTTTACCATAGACCTAGATTTGGAGTGCATAGCCTTTAGCCCTTCTCTCTGAGCTGAGATGAACTTTCTACTAAGCTTTCTTGCATATAACTTTTGATACTTTGAACGGTATTTCTTATCAAAAATAGCTTCATCAATTAATTGGTTTAGTATTCTATTCATTTTACCGTTAGAAATGGGATTATGTTTTCCTTTGAAGCCAACAGAAGACTGAAGTGCTCTTTGCTCAAGGTCAAATGACTCCTCGTCAATATTATGAGTCACCTCATTCTTTCTACTCTTCATTATCTTTTTCGATATCTTTGATAAAGACTGAAGAGTCTGAGAACACCTACTCATTGATTTAGGTAACTTTGAATTAATTCTTTGTTTTTCTGCAGCTTTTGCTGCAATGGTAAAAAAATTCAGTTTAGATCTTTCAGCTATTTTAGAAAGACTTTCAGTGTTCTTCTTTCGAGATCTATTTCAGTTTATTTGCAAGTTTTCTAGAAATAGATCTGACATCCTTCTCATCAAGGTCGATCTCCTCTCTGGTCATGCAGGGATCAGGAGACTTGTAATGCCTAGGTCACTTCTTTGGGATTGGAGACATTGCAGACTTTCTCATTGCTTTATTTCTATAATTATAAAACAGCCTGGGGTTTTGGGGTTTTGGGGTTTTGGGGTTTTGGGG